CATGCGCGTTTCAGCGCGTCCGGCGTCCCTCCATAACGAAAATAGAGAGACGCAGTGTTGTCTGGCTAACGCATTGGCACGAAATGCAGCATGTCGCATTTCGCGCCGGTTGCCGCCGGGCCGCACTGACGGACGCTGGTCGTGCCCAACGTTGGGTCGTGCCTGGCGTCAGACTGTAGAGTGCTCGCATTTTGCTAAGGTAGCGCCGCTGTGCCCAACGTGCGCGTGCTTCAAAGCTACATTAAAGTATATTGAGCCCTTCATGATGCGCCCTCAGCCGTTTTCATAGCTTCACACATAGCAAATTTGGCGTTACGTGACGTAAATTGATAACCAAATACACGACTGGTGCAAACATGATAATCCTGACACACCTGTCATGTAACATAACATACCACGCTCATAGCGTGCTCGCAGCCGTTTCACTAGCTCCACATATACTAAGTTTGGTATCACGTGACGTGAATAGATGACGACGGTAAACGACACATCCAAACATGATAATAATGACACGGAAGTCATGTACGGCATGATTTACCTCCACCTTGTAACGTTATGCTGATTTTAAAGTGATGTATCAACATTTCTCATTCATGCTTCGCATATCATCGATTCCGACTGTGCGTAGGATCTGCCAATTTTTTTTCACCAGCTGTCGTGATTGTAGAATACAGTATTGTTCCCTGATTTGTGTCAGTTTGTCTCGCACTCTTCCATGGAAGACTTTTTCGTGAGCATGATTGATGATTAAAGTGCTGAGGTGAGAGTCTTTCGGTAGGAGGATTGGATGACGAGAATCGTACGAGTCGTCCATCCTCCGAGCTTTTCCTTGTACCTGAAGCATCCCGTTGTTGTCGAGGAACAATCTTAATTGTCCAACTGGACTTTGGGAAGGAATTGGATTCTCGTTTGCAATGCAAGTTGCACTCATTACCAAAGTGAGCTCTCTGTTCTACGCGAATCAAATAGCACTCCGCTTATTGAATTTCGTCAGCAGACAGCTCCTCGAACCTATCACTTTCCTCCATCTTTTTAACATAACGAAAAACTCATGTCATTACTCTTACAAGTTTTGTGAGGCTGCTGCATCATTTGTTATCAATCAGTGTTGGCACCGATGTTCTCGTGTTAATAGCGTGGATATTGATTTCTGGCCCCATTTCAGCTGCTTCGAGTTTTCCGTTTTCGAAGTCAAGTTTTCCTTGAAATTCAGGCCAGAATGTATGAGACATTGCAAGCCAAACGGGTCCATACCACCACAACTGTGATCGACTCAGTTTGTGTACATCAAGCCTCGAATGAGCAAATTTGCGGGGTTTTCTTTTCCGGGACAAATTCGCCATCGAAAATATACTGTCGAATTTCCGATCTGCGTCCTGTTCCGTACAAATGCCTTCCAAAAAACAGGTTCCTTCTAAATCCAGCAAAGGGTAATCTGGGAATCGGACCAAAATGTTGCATCACCAATGCCCAGGTCGCAGTTCTTGATGACGTAGGCATATAAATGTAGGCATATATAAACCTTGTTACGGTATTCTCTAGCGTCTAACTTCTCTCTGTCCAACAGGTCGTCTGGTGTCTCTTCGAAAATTGCCTCATCCACTTTCTCTATCTGACCATAAAATGAACTTATTTTGTCGAGGAATACACTTACTGCTGCTGCACTGACGGCTTGATTTCCTCGCAAGTGGTTTTCCGCCTTGGACAACAGGATATCCAGTTGGCACCGCAGGCTGTGGCGTCGTCTAAGATATCGTTCCATTCTGACGCCTGCAGTCGATGTATCTCGCCAAGATCGGAGGTGCCGTCTTCTGAGGTGTTGCGGCTCCTAACGTCAATGATGTTGGCGTCATGTAAGATCCTGGGTTTTTGGCATCATGTGTTGGACCTCTGAGCCTTACTGCTGCAGCGCCGCTCACATACAGCAAAAACACGTCTTGCAAGATGAATGGCTTTAATGGAACTCAAGAAGAAAGAAAAAAATAGGGTGAGCCGGCGCTGCCACGAGGCCAAGCGTCAGCTCGTGAGGCGGCTCAATAATGATGATTGCTGCTCTTCTACTTCGAGAGATGGATAAAGGGAAGTCACAACAGACGCCACGCTAAAAATGGCACGCTAAAAATGGTATATATTGTCACGGAGCCGTGACGTGGCCGAAGAAAGTCAACTACAGATCGAAGATGAAACAGTTTATTCGGGCCGAACTTGTGGCCAACAAATGAAACGAGGTAATGGCATTGATAGCGGCAGGCAGAGCGTTGGCCGTCGATTAACTGACAAGCAGCGAAGCACGTTAGCATTTATACACTTGCCATCGAATCTTCTAGCGTTGTTGCTAGCGATGACGTACGTTCCAGAATAATCTGTATAATTCGCGGAGTGAACGTGATCTTATCGAAATGATCTACTACAGTCCTGAAGCTTCTGAAAGACTGAAGGCGCAGTTTGCACTGAGAATTACGTAGTGTAACGGGACGATAACAAACCTTAAGAGAAGGAACGTGGCATTATCTCACGATTTTCATGTCACCGCCTACCACTTATGTTCGTCATACAGCCACGCCCAGCAATACTAGATTTGGTCCATATCAAGCGGACAAACTTGTCGTGAGCGCTTCATTAGCATACCATGTAGGTCAGGCTAACATGACACATTATAATTTTCATACTGCCATTTATGTTCGTCATACTGAAACATCACGTAATACCAAATTTAGTGTATATCAAGCAAGCGAACTGGCCATGAGTTCACTCATGAGCGTGGATGCCATTATTTTTGTTTTGCCAACTGTCCTTTAAGTTCCTCGAAGAGTCATGTCACGCCGTAGCAGTTTTGGCATGCAAGTTATGCTGACATGACATGAATCATGGTTTTCATACTTCGACCTGCCTTTTATGGTCATTATACAGTCAAGGCACGCAGTACCCAATTCGGCCAGCGAAACAGCTGTGTGTGCACCATGAGTGTGGCATATAAACCATGCTGTACATGACCTGGGCGTTATTTTTAGTACCTGTCATTTATGTTCGCCATACAGTTATGTCCTGCCTTAGCAGTTTAGAAGTACAGCGTCAATTTTTACGAAAGGGAACATGACGCGTGGCCTGCGTGCTTCGGCGGCTGCTGGCAGCGCGTTCTTTTCTCGCATCATCTCGCGGCGAGCAAAACAAGATGTCAGTGCTGATGTGAAACCGCTGGCAAGATTGCAACCCCCTCCCCTTCAAGGCGATTATCGGCTCTCGCGTAATCTCCTGCAAGAGGGAGGGAGTCACAATCTTGCCGTTGGTTTCATATCAGCAACGAATAGTTGTTTTGCTTGCCGTGAGATGACGCAAAAAGAGACTGTGGTTGCTCTCGCTCCCACTTGAACACGCTGCCAGCAGCCGCTGGAGCGCACAGGCTCCAGCGGCTGCTGTACTTGACACTGTACATCAAGATAGCAAACCGGGCGCAAGTGCATCGTGAGTATTGCTTCTCATTCTATCCATATAACGCATGTGATTATTCTGATGCTACTACTTGCAATTATTGTTCGTATACAGTCGTGTCATCCAATACCAAATTTGGTACATGTCAAGTTAGCGAAACAACCAGAAACATGAGATACATGTCATGAGGATGGCGTATATGTCATGCTATACATGACATGAATATCATGATTTTCATATTACACTTGTAATTTATGTTAATGATGTAGAAATCTCTGGACATGCAGAATTAGTTATATATCATCTTCACGAAATAGTTATTACAGCATTATGGCCATGACACATAAACCACAATAATTTTTGTGATAAGTGATAATTCTTTACATTCCCGGTCATATGCGTTCGTCATACACTCCAGCTATGCCACACCAATCTTGGTATAAATGATAACAATAGGTTCCGGACAGCACAATGTTGCAAGAGATGGATAGATAGATATATATGCTCAAATCACCAAACTTCTCTAAGATATGCTTTGCACTGAAAAAAGAACAGAAACAAGAGCATGGTGGAATTGTGGGACGAGTAGCGCCTTTGAAGATTAAAGTTGGCTTATAGATGCCTAGGCGTGCTTTTTCCAATTTTTTTCCCTCTGGGTTTGGAACACGTTCCATTCCTCTCATTTGATTCGAGAGTTGTGAAAACTTTATGACGTCAAAATGATGTTGAAGAGGGGGAACCATAAAGAGAGGGCATGCTGCTGGCTGAGCTCCTGCCAGTTAGCAGCCGCTGAAACTTAATACAAAGTCCAATACATTAACACACCGAGACGAGCTTTCCGGTGAAGCGATGTATATACTTCATGTCCAAATGCAACATTTAGGTTAAAATAAAGGACTACCGGCGGCGCGCTGCAATCAGTGCACAGCGGCAGCGTGGTCCCTCTCGAAATGTCAGCGGCGACGCGAGTGAAAATAGGTGGCGACGGTGCCGCGGCGCAGTGGCACACAGCTCTACTATGTCGTTCATGCAGCGTCCCATTTGTCCTATGCGAGTTGTTAGTGCCAGCACGGTCTTCTTGCTTTTTCCAACGTCTGTGCATTTAAAATTAGATGCAACCACTCGACATGCAAGATGACCAGCTAGCCCAGACACCAATTATTCTCATGTAAACTTTTTTTTTCAGCTTGAATTTCTTCTGCCTTTATGCATTAAGTTTTCTTATCGCAATCCCCGATGCATTGCTACAACACAAGCAAAAGCATGCACGACCACGGTATGCACAGTAACACTGACTTGTGAGGGTGCACAGCAGCCTGCTGCCAGCAAATGTTCTTTATCTGTCATTACGCTCCAACCAATGAAAGTTCAAATGCCCCTTTGAGGGGACAGACAGAGGTGTTTACACTCAAGCAGCTCTTTGGGGTGCTTGCATGAAAGCTCTTGAGTGACTGCTAACTGTTTCGCAGGTCTTTTCTTTTAATGCGCAGCCATCAAAAACAACCAAACAGGCCAGACTAACCAACCTGCTTCTTCTTTTGCTACAGCATCTGAACCAGCAAAACGAAAAATTTTCAGACTTATACAGGATATATTACACCTCAATATAAATAATGGAACGACAGTCTCTTTGCAAAGAGTAACTCCTCCACACATAATAATGGACACTCAACTGAAATAATGCGTCAGAGTTATGCTGTCAAATGTATAAACTTTTGCAGATGGTTTTATTCCATTTCTTTTTTTAAAATTTTTAACAAAGGAAGAAAACGTATATTAAACCTGAACCAAATGGACTGCCACAGGTATTATATAAATAAGACATAATCACTTAAACAAAATGAATGCTTAAGCATAAATTGTTTATTTAAATGTAGCTGGATCCAGGTCAAGAAAAAATTAACGTGTGTGTACTTTTCACATGGATGCATTTTCAGCGTGTTTGTGCACAAATTTGCGGTAACAGATGCGAATTACCTTAAGGACCTAGAGGGGCATATGTGGTCCCTGAGCCGTTCAGCCCGCTTAAATGAGACTGAACATGCTGTACAGAAAAAGGGCTTCTTTCCTTTATGCGTCTCGCGAATGTGTCTATTGAGGCTAGACCTATGACTGCTCACAAAAGGGCAAAGGTTGCATAGAAATCCGTTCACATTCCCATAGTCGGCATCATTCACTGCAACATGCGAATCTGTAAACACTTGGTCTCGCAGGGCCACTGTTCCACTGTCAGCACCCCAAAAGGTTGATGCAAGCAGCATGGAGGCCTTAGTTTCACCAACTGCACAAAGTAAGAGATACTACGCATTAAAGTGGCACTTGTTATCACAATGATTGTATCATGACATATATAAACCTGCCCACAAAAGCTTAGGAACGTGGGCTCCACAGAAAATGCAAACTTCTTTGCTGGAGCACGGCGCTTCTAATCTCGCAGGTAGCTGTATAGGTCGAGTGCAGGTGCTACTAGGCCTGATCATTTATTCAGAGGCTATGTTCATGGACAAGGCAGGAATATCACTTTTTTGAAAATCGCACGCTACGAAAACTTTCGGGGGCAGGAGTATAGTCATCAACCACTGAAGTATGAGCAAATAAGATTAACAAAAACATTAATTATTTTGCTCCTCTTTCTTCAAAACAAGCAATGTAGGCATGATATCACCTGTTACACTTGATTCGAGGCCTAAACCACCTTCAACAACCACATAAGTAACGGTTAAACACAGGGCCTCGAGTGATCATTCGCAAAACCTACTCCACATAGCAATTTCTTGCTTGCATTCCGTTCATAGTTGACAAAACATCACAAAAAATGTACCAAGCAATCATTGAACGATCTTGGTACTGGAGTGGATCCCCTCAATTGCCAATATATCCAAAAGACGTTAAAATTGCCTCGATTGCCAACAAGAATACAGGAATTCTCCTCGACAAGTACGCTGGAACCTATAAACAAGTAGGGATAACAGGCCGTGGTACATAATTAGGCCATGTGAGCGCGCGCAATAAAACATCCCATTGTGATTTCTGAGAGAGCTAAAGCGCTGGTACTGCATCATATGAGAAATCCTTGGAGTACGGGGCATCTCTAAGGCACCTGTCTTCTTCAGGGCATTGCAGCCTCCGTGTGTTCAAATATTGGGCCCAGCAACGCTCCATGTTCCAAGGATTTCTCATATCTCCAAGCTTCCATATGTTCCCCTAAACTTGTACCTTACTGTGCATGGTGCCGGCAAGTCCCATGTAAAAACAGTGCATCTGATCTAATCGCCTATTTTGATTTACATCGGCGGCTAGCAAATGGCGTTCTATCTTTTGTTTGACATTGCACAGCAGGTGCAGGCAGATTCGAAGAGGTGAACAGAGGGTGTCCGACAAACTGGCACGCTGCACTTGCAAACTGTCTTCCCTGCATACGACTGCAAACGTTGGCTGAGCTGTTCATTGCAGTGTTGGCTTTCCGCAGGATAAGCTTTTTTCACCAAGCACAAGGGTTTATCTGTGACCCTTTTAAGAAGGAAAATGGATTGATGGGCTTCTTTCTTTGCAAGACACAACTTTGTGAAGCCCAAGGAGGCGTAGTGGACATTATTTGGACATTTGAACTGTGGTGTAGTAATAAGGAAAAAAATGAATATGGAGTAATAATTGTTTAGGGTAAACCCCTCAAAACCACCATGTCATTATGACACACGCGTTGGTGGAGGGCTCTGGAAAGTTTCAACCTCTGGGGTTACTTAAACTGCACCTAAAAAGTACATGTTTTAAAGCACTTTGCCTCCATCAAAAATGCAGCTAGGATTCAGTCCAGCAGCCGAGCACCAGACAACCGTGGCGATCAAAGGATATCATGTCACATGATTTCCACATGTTCTTAGTATTCATTGAAGCCAACAAACTTCATATTATGTTACATATCACAATAAACAAAGGCTGCTACACACTCACCACCTCCCAGGAGTGCGCACACAGCCAAAATGTACTGCCGTAACTCAAACCGTGGAGCATTGGATGTGTTATTTGAAGGTTGTCATCTGTTTATCCCACTTGAAGTAGGAAAAACTAAAAAGCCTGCCACTTATCAAAACTGTACCACAATACTGTGTGTTATTTCCTTGTTTGCCTCGTCTAGTTTTGCGCTGCTTTTACCTTTCACCATCACAGTTTTTCCTTCTGAGCCTTTTCTTTCGTTCTTTCTATCGTTTTACAGCCTTCCATAATTTTTCTTTTCCCCATTCTTTACTCGTGCTTGCACCTTCAATTTTCATCTTTTCTTTGATCTTCCTTTCTCTCTTCTTGCCCACCAGAGTTATTGCATTCCCCACAGAACAAATAATTGCTCTGGGAACGAGGAGGACGAAGAGAGCGTGTTTTCGGATTCAGTTGACGCACTGTGCTCAGCCAAACCCCCTTTACTATTAAGAAATGTACTTGCCCAGCACTACCAGGATACGAACCTAGTGCCTTTTACATTGCAGGAGCACACTGCAACTGATTGACCAGCAAGGCGAAGCGCCTATGCACCAACAGCACTGTTGTCATCACTTTCCCCTTCTAAACAAAACCTGACATCTGAGGCACAGAATGGCTCAAAGGTCTTTATCGTTCTCATCTTGATTTTTCATTGTTTCTTCAAGTTATATGTGTATACTTACATCTGTGCATACTCTAGTATTTTGGTTTTAATGGGTAGCATTCTAGCCTTAGACATGCCTCGTGTCCTGTGCACATGCACCGAAAATATTAATAACTCTTGAATAAAACTTGTTGTTGGACTATTTGGTTATTTGTCATATTGTAAGAAATTTAGCACAACTTTGTACTTCCACGATACACTCTTCCGCATGAGAAACACACAAAGTGCTGTGGGTGTGGTGAGGGTTTCTCATGTGGAAGAATGTGTGGGTTTTGTAGGAGTACAAAGTTGAACTAAATTTCTTATAACATAATTGTTTCAATTTAAGTCGCAAAACAACCATATGATTATGGCAGATCTCGTAGTAAAGGGCTTCGGAAATTTTGACCACATGGTGTTCTTTAATGCGCACCTAAACCTAAGCATACGGCCTCAAGCATTTCGGCCTCGGTCATGTCGGGGATTTGATCTCGCAACCTATGGGTCAGCTACCCAGTGCCTTAACCACTAGACCGCCGGGGCGGGTGTAAAAAACAGCTCAAATAACAACAAAGGAAGGAATGAGTGAGATAGCTTGTTAGCGAAATTCTTGCTTGCATTGTAAAGACTGTTCGCTAATTTTTAATGAAGCTGATGTCGTGAGCAAACATAGGAATAAACATGTACATGAGATTACCAAAGATGTGATCAGCCCGAGTTTGGCATCGATCATGTTATTGGATAGCAAGTCAAACTTTTTTCACTCAGGTTTTCCAAGAAAGTGTATTTGCTTTGACATGTGCCTTTATGCAGTTTGCTGTGTATATGTCAGAAAAATTGATACCATAAACTGTTGTCCTCGTCGTTACTTGCGCTGAGTCTTTTACTACACTTTACCAACATGTCCAACTTTGTTATATGCTAAATGCTAGACACAGCTTTCCATCGCTGCTTTTGGAAGCTGAATTCCTATTACTGAGTGAGCTTTGAAGACTTCTATGAGACCCTCCACATGAACGAGATCAAAGAAACATTGTTCATCGGCCGGTGTGACAAAGTCGTCTTCAGGCTAAATCAGGTCTTACAACAGAAAACACAACAACATCATTATCATCATCATCACTAAGCAACCTTGAATTGTAAGCAGATTGGCGTTTGGGAAGATGATGCGTTCACTTTTTTCCATTTGTGCTAAGTGTCATTTGTTTTAATGACTGCCGTGATTTTTGGCAAAACTTGGTCATGCAAGAACACCTCATTAATGCCAAAAGTGTCAACAAGATTAACACATACGATAGAAACTGAACACTGTACAAAAGCAATACAAAACATTCCACAGATCAGGGCACACAATAGGAACAGAATATATGAATGTAAAAAAACAGAAAGATGGTGCGTGCATATAAAGAATTTAAAGCAGGTGGGCAGCCATTATTTTAAAACAATGTGCGTTTTAAGATATAATCAGCAACTTCCAGGTAATGTCGTAGTAGTGAAATTATAATAAAGTGCTAATAAGCGAGACAAATAAATACAGCTGCCAGGCAGCAGCGTTATGGTTACATTGAGTAGAAACAGCAGATGCCCCACAATCTCAGCAAAACACACTACAGCACATCCATATTTCACATGTCCACAGTATAACACTGATGCTATAAGCACTTTATACAACTACAGCCGTAAATGTTCAATCAATATCCAGAGGACCACACATCAATTAGGCATGATATCCAGAGGACCACACATCAATTAGGCATGTTGCCTTCCTCGAATAGATGGCGTTCAATCCGCAAAGGCACATGCGCAGATCCAGTGAATTTCTGAAAATAAAACAAGAACAACTCACTGGCAGACAAATTAAGAGCATTCTCATTCACCAAATTAACAATTAAAAGCAGTTGACAGTGTGGAGAAGCCATGTACACTTCTGTCTAAAGCTTTAAAAGGACGGCTTACCGTCCTTCATCGCCTTTCTGTGTTGTGGTGCAATACATAATAAGCATACTGTCTGAATTGTTAAATCTTGTTTTAGTTATCTGGAAAGCAAGGAGATCATTTTAAAACAGAATTTTTCTATCCACGTTCTGTGGCTGTGAATTGGTGAGTGACAGCTGCAAGCATGATTACTGCATGCGATTACAATCCTTGTGCTGTTGGAAGTTGAAAACTGCAGCGGCATGCAGTTTTTCCATGCCTGATTGGGTTTTGCCTAAAGAAAAAGGATTACCTTAATGGTCATTTAGAGCTTGCGAACTGCCGAATAAAGTATTATTATTATTACCACAGCCTCCCCAGTTTCGTTCAGTCAGCCTGAAAAAGCATCGCAGATGAGCAGAACACTTGGTCTTTTCCAGCAACAGTGGTACTGCAAATTTCCAGTATACTGCAGTGAAACAACCTGCAGTGCTTCCACTCATGCAAAATGCGCAGCTGAAAGAAACATGAGATGTGTTTGAGAAACAAGAATGTCCCTGCTGTCTTTTATTTCGGTGCTCTGTGTTGCATATGCGACACAAATGACAACAAACACAGACACCATCCTTGCGTTGTGGCAAGGATGGTGTCTTGCGTCGTGGCAAGTTTCTCTGTCATCGGAAGGCAGCTAGGTGGACTAGTCATTGGCAGCACCAGCACCCTTTGAGCGAATGGGAGAAAAAAGTAAAAGTTAATTTTTGACACAAAGTGCAGAAAATGTCTTTTTAAAGCATACTTATTTGTGTTCAAATAAATTAAGTCTACTCGCAATAGTTTCTTACTGATTGAACCACATTGTTGTTTGGGTGACATTGGTCGTCATGCTTTCACCACTTTACAAGCCAAACTCGTAGAAGTGTGGCAGTTTGGGCTAGTTGGTATGACATGACAGTTATAGCGCGAGAACAGAACGATGACAAGTAACGCTCCTGTCCTTCTTGTTTCTTTGTCGTCGTTCTGTTCTCGCGCTATAACTATCGCCAAACTCTCAACATGATTCCTTTTTTTAATAGAGGAAAAAGAAAAGATGCTCGTTGACCTCGATCTGGCAAGCAATCTTCTCATTTTCACCACAATCAAACCAAAAATCTTGGTGGTCTCTCAACTAAGAATAAGACGAGTTACGGCAAAAGCAGCAGGGGAACTACTAAAGTGTACTCGTCAGCACTGGTTTCAACGAACGTGCTAACACCAACTTGTCCACCCGCTCTAGTGACGGCTCGAAACGAAACTTGGGATCAAGACCAAGAACATCGAGGTGCTTGTCAGAAAGTGCTGTGGCGCTGAGGTTCAACACTTTTTCAGCTTGCGCATGCGACTTCTTTCTCTTTGGAAGTAGCGGAAGAACTTGTCGCCAGAGATACTTGGCCGTGTCTTTGCCAGTGCGGCACCAGTCCCTGTAGAACGGCTGCCAGCGAGTACCATGAATCAAGCTTCACGACACCTTTAACCAGTCCTTGTAGCTCCTTACTTGCCAGACCGCAGAACTCGGACCGGAGAATCCGGCACATTTTTCTTGAATGTCCGACGAAGGGTTGAAACCATCCGCACAAGACTTGAAGATCGAGAGGACAGGTTCCATAGCGAATGTGCCAATTGCCACTCTTGCCACTCTTGCCTTGCAAATGCTCACGGCCATCATTGAAGCTAGTGTGGCTGGGTCCGATACATCCAGGTGAGGAAAAGAATTAGTGCCCTGGGTACTAGAAATGAATTGCAACAGAATCGAAAGTTGGGTTAGTTGGATATGCATGGTATAACTGTCAGTTCAAGCGCATGAATAAAAAGAAAGGAAAAGAGGACAAGCGACTGCCGCAACTAAACGATTTATTAGAAAGAGAAGAATATATAAACAGCTAATCAAAAAACAACACATGCGTGTGCAGGCAAAAAGTACACCCGTGGCACCTCGAAAACACAGAGTAAAAGAAGAAAGATTATCTCGGAATATAATCTCGAAAAGCAAACTCTTCATCGTGCAGCAAAACTGAAGGCTGCCAGATGCATTGCTCTCCTCTTTTTCTTATGTGAAAAGCTTTTGTCAACTCGCGAGTCGATTGTTAGATCGAAAAATCGCTTCAGTATCCTGAAAAAGAGGATAACAACTGCATTCTCTGCAATGAGCCACGAGATGCGATGCACTCAAGAATTTCAAAGAAGAATCGTGCTCTCTAAGATGAACACTGATGCACCTTCCCGACTGACCTATGTACACTTTACCACAGCTAAAAGGAGTCATGTAAACAACGCCCACTGCGCAGTCCATGAACTTTGCAGTGTTTCATGTGACATTGTGGAAACTCTCTGCGCATGCGCGAATAAATAGACAGCAGTTTGCTTTTGGCTGAGAAAAGCACATCGACTGTATATCTATTACTGAGTTGCTTAGGTTCATGCGATGTCTTATGAAGGTAAGGAATTACTGCTATCCTCCTACCTTTTCTACTCTCATCACGACGCCCAGAGTGGGGTTCCCTTCAAATTTAAGTTTCTTAATCATGTTGTGATGGACGTGATAACATCATTAGGATACCCTGCTTGTACTAGTTTCGTTACTTGACTGTCAAAGCTCATTTTCATTTTGTTTTGGCAGGACTTTTTCAGGGCAAAATCCAACCTCGTTAACAATACTTCTCTTCACTAGCTTCACTAGCTCGACCTGTAATTGAGTATAGGCTTCATGGATATAGGACAATAATACCAGCAAACATGCTGGGGTTCGAATACCAAGTTAAGGTCTAGAAATTGCAGTTATTTTAGACGCGGCAATTCTAAAGAAAGGTTTAGTTTCTTGCCTGTTTCTTTAAAAACCTTGGAAATATTCACAACATCTCGCGCAAAATCTGAGGACGTAGTGAACACAAGAAAATCATCGACGTATGTGAATACATAATCCGGGACTCCTGATAGATGCCTCTGAAGTGCCACATCAATCTTTCCCAAAAGAATTTCGCTTACAATCGGAGCTACTGAAGAGCCTATGCATGTCCCTGATCTCTGAACATGAAGATTACCACCCCAAGCCACAAAGGGTGACTTCAAGTAAAAGCTAAGTAATTCTAGAAAACTAGATACAGAAGTTCCACACTTAAGGCTAAAAGACAATTCATCATTATCCTGCGCGATGCAGCTTTGAATGCTTGCAATCAGCTCACCTTGAGGTATCGAATAGTACAAGTCCTCAATGTCTATACTGAAAGTGCTACATTTGCTAGAGCTATCAGTGCTCAGAAACTGTTCCACCGCTTCAGAATTACTGACACGGAAAGAATCCGGGATAGAAAGAGTTTCTAAATTGCTTTGCAGGTATCTCAGAACATCGTTTTGCCAAGTGTCTCTTTCAGACACAATCGCTCTGAAAGGCATTTCTGGCTTGTGTGTTTTGACCGGAAAAAATATATCACGTTCAAATCACTTGGCAGATTTGACCGCAGAAGCTAACCGCTCAAAATTCATGTCAGAAAGCAAAGAATAAGCATTTATCTTTACTTTTGAGCTCTTGCGATTTGCAGGTACAAAGTTCTTGCCGAGTGCTTTCACAGCCCTCTACGAAAAGGTGCACTCATCCATAACCACAAAGAAACCTTCCTTGTCAGCTACAAGAAGTTGTAGTTTGTTATCTGCCAAAAATTTACAAATTGGGCGAACTCTGTTCCTACCCTGTGCGTTCGTCTCAGTCTTAGCAATGGCATCCACACACTCCGAAATGCACCTGGGTTGCTCCTCTTCCACCACTTACAGTTACCACTGATAGTTATACCATGCATATCCAACAAGCCCAACTTTTGATTCTGTTAGAATATAGAAAGTTTTGGAGCCCATTATAGCACATCAGTAATTTCACAGAGGAATCCATGTATAATTACTTTTTTAAAGAGTTCCTCGTGGATCATCTCGGCTCCTGCAAATGTCTTGTGTTCAAGCCTCGAGCTAAATTTTTATTAGTTTTGCCCCATTAATGTCAATCTGAAATATGTATTATTTTTTTACTCAAGTAACATTCATAATTAATCCTTTTGTAATTATTAATAGTGAATTGAGCTTTTTACAAGCCACAACTTAATGCATGAACTATAAATAATCTGTTCCATTTTCATTGTTACATTGGTTTGTTGACTTCCTTTTGCTTTGAAACAAACAATGAAGGCAACAAGTTCAGTTTTTGGTCAAATATCAGTGCTTCCTTATATTTAAACATACAATGTACGATTTTGAGCGAAAATATTCTGTAAACTCTCTCTTTTTCCCACGTATGTTATGCGCTACTTGAACTTTTTTGTTGATAACATTTGCACTGACTTAACAACATATTTTCCTATATTTTCTTTTCATGTATATAATGCACTTGGTTGATTTTACAACAGTATTTGTACAAAGTTGTGTGTCCCTAATGTATGCCTTGTATGAAAGGGCTTGAGCTTTCCTCAAGCGAACTATTTCGCTTTTAGCCCAAGCTTGGCAACATCTTCCCAATGAAAATAAACTTTGATTTGACACAGATCACAAGGAATTAGCAAACTAAAAAAAATTATCTCCCAAACAAAAAGCGATGCGATTTCCAATCACCAAGTTGGTAAATATTTCAGAAGCTCGGTATTCTACAAGCATTCATAACATTAGAGCATAGAACAAACCGCCATTCATTCCCAAGCCACAACAAATGTGCAGTAGGACCGCAGGGGCATTTTGGTGTTGGGAGTGCTGTCTCACCAAAAAATGTGGTTGATCCCTCTCTTTCGGAATCGGTATAACATGAAAGTGAAACGTGTCTTCAGAGAGAGGTAGCTAATCATTGTGCATTGCTATGCCGCAGCGGCAAGGTAATGAATTCTGCAGTAATAAATTGCAATATCACTCCAAAAACGGCAAGCAGCTTGAAACTTGCAGCGCACACATCAAGCACTAAGCATG